GATCCTAAGCCTTCAAACCCAGTAAACCACTCAAGCAAAGTTTTTAGTTATGTCTAAGATGTATCCGTTAACTATGTTACCATGTGCTTTATTATATATATGTAAAACCCAAACCAAACCAGTTGCTGTCGATTCTGACTCCTAGCGACCCTGTAGGACAGAGTAGAACTGCCCCACAGGGTTTCCAAGGAGCGGCTGGCAGATTCGAACTGCCGACCTTTTGGTTAGCAACAGAATGCTTAACCACTCTGCCAACAGGGCTCCTATTATATATATGGATATATAATATACATGTATATACATATGCATGTAGATACACCTATACCTGCACACATATATACATACATGTACCTATCTATACACATATATGCATACATACCTACATATATTTTTTGGTTGTTGTTGCAAAATTGTATATGTTATAGCATTTACTAAAAGCATCTGTTATTCTTGTGTACTTCTTAGTGATATCATTTACCTTGGTCAAGCTGCGCACACGTCACCCACATTCAGCGTTACCTATCAAATCACCAAAAATAACACATGTCTACTATCTAGAGAATGATTCTCCCTCCCTCCCCCTCCCATCCCTGGTAACCACCAACGAACGTTGGTTTCTGTATGTATACCTATTCTAATCTTTTTATAAAAGTGAGATTATACAATATTTGTCCTTTTGTGATTGAATTATTTCACTCAGCATAATGTCCTTCAGATTCATCCATGTTTCGAGAACTCATCAGTATTCTTTATGGCTGCATTGTATGTACGTACCACATTGTGTTTATCCATTCATCCATTGATGGGCTCTTAGGTTGTTTCCATCTTTTTGCTATTGGGAATAGTGCTGCAATGAACATAGGTGTGCATATGTCTGTTCATGTTTCTTCCAATAGATCTCTAGGGAATATACCCTCTAGGATTGCTATGGATTATAACGTAGTTTTATTTCTAGTTTTTTGAGGAAGCGCCATACTATTTTCCATAGTGGTTGTACCATTTTACAATCCTACCAGCAGTGAATTAGGGTTCCAGTCTCCCCACATCCTCACCAGCATTTGTTGTATTCTGAGGTTTTTTGTTTTTGTTTTTATCATTGCCATTTTAGCAGGGGTGAGATGGTATCTCATTGTAGTTTTGATTTGTATCTCTCTAATGGCTACTGATTACAAGCATCTTTTCATGTGTTTGCTGGCCACTTGAATGTCCGCTTTGGTGAAGTGTCTGTTCATGTCCATTGCCCATTTTTGAATTAGGTTGTTGGTCTTTTTTTGTTGTTGTTGTTGAGTTGTTGAAGTTTTCTACATATTTTAGAGATTAGACCCTTATGGATATGTCATTCCTGAAGATTTTTTGCCTTTTTACTTCTATAAAGTCTTTTGATGAGCATAAGTATTTAATTTTTATGCGATCCCAGTTATCTAATTTGTCTTCTGCTTTTCATGCATTTATAGTTGTGTTTGTTAGTGGTTTTTTTTTTTTTTTTAAATTAGGTCCCATAGTTTTGTCTGTATATTTTCTTCCAAGAACTTTATAGTTTTAGGTTTAACATTTAGGTCTTTGAGCCATTTTGGGTTAGTTTTTAATATCTTACATCATTTTATTCTCAGGAAAACCTCATTTATCAGCTATAATCTGCCCTCTTCATTCTTCTCTGGCTCAGTTACTCAAAATCTTATTCCATTACTCATGTTGTTGTTGTTGGCTGCTACTGAGTCCACCCCTGACTCATAGCGACCCTGTGCACAAGGGATCAATTGGCTATGATCCATAGGGTTTTCATTGGCTGATTTCTGTCTTAGTCTGGAAGCTCCACTGAAATCTGTTAGCATCATAGAAACACACAAGCCTCCACTGACAGAGGGGTGGTGGCTGTGCTTGAGGTGTAGTGTCCAGGAATCAAACCAGGTCTCCCACGGGAAAGGTAAGAATTCTACCACTGAACAGCCAATGCCCCCAATCATTATATTTTCCTATA